CCCCCCCTTCTGCCTCTCTTGCTCTCCCTCTCTTCCTCTCATCTTTCGCGGCTACTCTGGTTCTCACTTTTCGGTCCATGTAATTTCTACCCGGCCTCATTTTCTCTGAATCCCGTCTTTATTTTTGGTTGTATGAATCATTTAAGTCCTTCCCTTTCCATCCTGTCGGGCCTTACCGTCTGGTCTTCGGGGGAGGGAATGAGAGAGGAGCCTGGGAAGAGGAGCAGTTGATGGACCCGCGATGGGCTTCATGGGCCGGGGAGATCCACTGTTGCTAGTCCTCTGGCGGGCTCGTCCTCCTCCTTGGGATCACTAGTTGCACCCACCCATCCGTCTTTCGTCTCTCCCTCTTTGGTTCTGCTCGGACCTACCAGTCTGGGTCGCCCCCCTCTCTTCGGTTTCCCCCCGCTGCATACGCCGGTCGCTCGCTCTCAATGACTATTCTGAGAGTAGAGCGAGCCTGCGCGCGAGGGGAAATGGAAAGAGATTGGGGGAGAGGGGAGAGAGGGAAATCTCTCCGGCCTACGGAGACCACTCACTACCTTGCAATCCACTGTCCACTGTCCACAACTGTCCTTCCTTTCTGTCTGTCTCTTGACTCTTTTAGCAAGAGTAAGACCCCGTCTGGCCGCCGTTTGGCGTTCCCTGCAACACCCGCTCCATACCCGGCTCTGGTCTAGTCTGACTGGCCTTTCCACCCATTCATTATTATTATTATTGCCTGCGATGTTTCCTGGTTTTCTGATCACCAGGAAGGGGGTGCCGCCTCGATCTTTTCTTATTTTTCTTATTTTTAATTGTCCTTCTCGTCGGTTTTTTTTATTGTTTTTTTTTTATTATTTCATCTCACTCCCATTTATTCTTTTTTTGGGCTGAGGGGGGAAAATGAATTTTTACCCTTCCTTTCTCAATTAAAATAATCGTGGATGATTTTGATCTTATTTATTTTTTCCCACTTGACTTTTCTTACCTTTAATCTCTTTCTCTTGGTTCATCCCCCCATAGCCATTACTAAAGCGCTACTCTAAAGAGAGAAGGGGAAACACCAGAGCAAGAGCAAGAGCAAGAGCAAAGCAAAGCAAAGCAAAGCAGAGCAAAGCAGAGCAAAGCAGAGCAGAGCAGAGCAGAGCAGAGAAGAAGCAGAGCAGAAGCAGATCTTCTTACTATACCGTACTGGGAGAATCCACCAGGGAATCTGCCAATATTATATCTTTCCCCCGTCTGGGTTACTTTAATTCTATGTCTCTCCCCTGCTGTGATCATCATCGTTATTATCATTATTATCATCATCATCATCATCATCATCACCATCACCATCACCATCACCACCATCACCAGCGCTCATCTTTATACTACCAAACTACCTCTACTTATATCGGTTTGGTTGTGTTTTAATCTACCTTCCTGTTCTTGTGCTACTAGGGTTGTACGTCTCTTGTCCCTTCCTCCTACCATCGGAACTCAACTACTTCCCCTCCTCACCTTCCACGGAGCATCTGGAACGGAACACTTTTTATTTTTAATCTTTATTTGCACGTTCGGTATATTCATGAACATTTTGTTTCATATGGCACCGGTGACCGTTGTGAACTTCAGCGTGGATAGATTGGCTTACATACCTGCTCTGAAACAGGCCTTGAACAGCGCAGCAGCAGCAGCAGCAGCAGCTCCTCCAGTGTAAGCTGAGCTGGACTCTCTCTTCGTCTTCGTTTCTTCTTGATCAATTTACTCTTCTTTATTTTGTGTGTGTGGGTGTGTTGTGTGCTTCTTTTGCCCTTTTCTCTACTCACACCCTCCCTCTGATCGCTTGATCGCCCATCAATTGAGTTCACCAGTCAACCTTGGACCAAGCGACTTAACCTCCCTGTCAAAACGGGCTTCGACTTGCCAGCAGAAAGCTTGGGAATTGCCGCAGCTTGGACTTGGTCAGGTTGGAGAGTCAACCTAGTCAACCTACCTAGTCAACCTACTCCTCGATCCGATCGTTATCCGTGGAACCGCAGCTCCAGTCGACCCAGAAAGTCACTAGGGCCAGACGCTTGCTCTCTCCAGATTCCCACCTTTTTCCACCCTTTCCACCTTTTCCACCTTTCTTTTACGAGGAGTGATTTGAGAAAGGACGGGCCCGTGCTCGCTGTCGATCCGGGTCACCCAAGTCTGGTGGTCCTTAAACTCAAGAAAGAGGGGGATTTTAAACTTGCGCCATCGACCCTTTTCTACGGTTCGCCCGTCGACTGTGAGCTCTTTTCGACTCTCGACTTGTCATTCTCTCCGACTCTTTCCTTTCCTTTTTTTGCCCACCAACTGCAAACTGCTGCTTCTACTCTCCCCTCCACCAACTCCCACCACTCCCACCATCCCCCCGCCTACTCTTCCCTAAAGGTTAATTTCGCCTCCCCCTCCCTGTTTCCTGGTGCTATTACCTCTGAAGCTTTGCCATTTTCTGCTTGTGTGTGTGTGTCTCGCATACAAGACAAGACAAGACATCAAATAGTGGAAGCGAGCACAAAGTCCCGAGCGAGCCTTTTGCTTTTTTACACTTCAATCTCCTCACGGCTGTTCGTTCCTTTTGTGCTTTGGGAGACCCCGAATTTCCAGTGAGAACATCCCGGTCGACCTAGCCGTGTTGCTGGGAAACCTTGATCTTCGGTGGCCTTAACTTTGATCCGATTTACCTCTTGGACCCCTTTCAACTAGGTTCGAACCTTCAAACAAAGGCAAACAATGGTCAACGGCACCACCACGGTGTTGGAGCCCACCTTTATGGGATATGTTTCAACAACACAGGATGCGCTGATTCTGTTCGAAGCCTGCCTCACAGGCGTCCTGCACCATGTCCCTCGTCGCCCTCACGATCGGGAACGGAGCCATCTCGTTCGCAGCGGCAGCGTCTTCATCTACGAGGAGAATTCGTCGGGGATCAAGCGATGGACGGACGGGGTGACTTGGAGTCCCAGTCGGATCCTGGGCAACTTCCTGGTGTACCGAGAGCTGGAGAAGCCCTTCCCGCCAGGCGAGAAGAAGAGAGCGATGAAGAAGGCCAATCGACGCCCGGTGCCGTCGACGCGACCGGGGGAGCCGTATCCGCGACAGGATAGTAACGGAGGCTATTCTCCTTCCTCGACAACCGGGCCTTTTGGCGATAGACCGCATCAGTCCGACGTGGAACGGGCGCTGGTGGGCTCGCTGGTGGATTCGTACGGGTTTAAGGATTCGGGGTTGGTTAAGAAGACGATGAGCGTAACGGTCTCGGGAGTGACGCATCACCTGGTGTCGTATTACAGCGTGGAGGATGTGATCCGAGGGCTGCTGAACCCGCCATCGTTGGTCGAATCGCTGAGATATATCCGGCCCCGTGCAGAACTAACGCAGAAGCAAAGCTTCCGGGCCCCCATCGATGATTTGGAAACAGGAGGGCTGGAGAATCCGAATGACCCGTCGCATGCGCTCTACGGTTACCGACCTCACCTGGTTGCGCCTCCAGGCTATGCGATGACGAACTCTCATCCCGAATTCTACATGCACGCGGGGCCCTATGCGGCGACTCATCCGCCCCAGTCCACGCCAATACCGGGATACTCGATGGGAGGATCGATTCCGGCACAATCCGCCCCCAATCCATATCTGCCTGCACCATCCGCCCCTACTCAAATCCCGCAGAAACCGGAGGACTACACGCAGTTCCGACAGCCTTCGTATGGCACCAGTTTTGACGCGCTCGGCCACAACCCTCTATCCTCGTCAATCCCGTCCGTTCTCAACACGGCCATGCCTAGTTCCCTGAGCGACCGCAACCGATCCCATTCCGACCACAGCCCGTCCGCCTACCGCAACTCATCGATATCGTCACGCAGCGTGGCCACGGACGCAACATCGCCGATCGATCCCTCGACTCCTGCTACATACTCGCGGGGCGGGAGTTTCAGTCTGGGACCGCTTGACGGGTCGCACCAGCATCTGGAACAGCGGGGGCTGGGGGGATTCGATCCGGGCATCTCGCGTCGGGAGTCGGGCCCTATCCCTACGCCTTATTACACGGGCGGGGACCGACATCATCAATATTACGTGGGGGCCACGGCCCCGGGCGCACACGCCGGGTATCCAGTGTCGACGTGGACCACGGCAGCACCCGCGCAACCTCAGATCTGAGTTTTTTCTTTCGTCTTGTCTCATTTTGTATTCGCTCGTTTAGCCTTCACTTCTCCCTCACCCACTTTTTTTTTCTATACGGTTTTTTTTTACTCTCCAGAAGGGCGGCAATTTGGGAATAGACTATGCATATATGCTGTGGATGATTACCCGGATGAAGAAATCGCTCTAGAGGAGGTATAGGCGGCTTTTTATTTTCTTTCTGATTCCTTTGACTACGATGATACGATGCAGATCAAAATACCTATCTCGTCTTTCTTTTCACTTGTTCACTGGGGGTTTTTGATTTCCTGCGGGGGTTTTCTTCTTTTCATGTGGTCATGAGCAATGGGTTGGCTTGGGTGGCATGGTCCAGGGGCGGTTATCTGAATTTATTCTTTGTTTGTTGCTATTGCTATTGCTGTTGCTGTTGCTGTTGCTGGTTTGATGATGATCAGGCTATCATATTCTTAGTGTTACATGTTACATAAGGGCCAAGGGGTCGTGTACATTGAACCGCAATGATAGGTGCTATCAGCTTGGATTGGTTGTAGTTGACCTAGTAGTTGCCTGTGTACTTGGACTTCCAAGTTTCACACATATTGTGCTGAGAGAGATTTATGTGATGACAGTCATTGTCTTTGATTTCTTCTTCTTTTTGCTAAATTCTTTACAGGCTTCCCGGGTCCTTTGGTCGCATCCAACCACAGTTAAACCAGATCACTCGAATAATCGATCTCCCTTCGATCCCGCTATTCTCAGGGCTCCTCCCCCTCCATTGACTAGGCGGAGACGGAGTGGCCGTCAAATCAGTCCGCGGAGACCCGATACTACTGAGGGTGATCACGGAGTGAGCGGATCCAGCCCATCGATGGGCGGCGAGATCGCATCCGGCCCTCCTCTTCGTCCCTCAGGAAGATGGTCGTCCGCTGCGGACTCAGCGTGGCCATGCCCGCCCGGAGCGCCCCGCTGCCGCCGCCGTTAGGCCCGGGGGACCCGGCCATCGACGGCGGTGGTGGTCGGGGATAAGATGGCGACGCGCATCGCCCGTCTTGCAGAGTCGTGTCTTCTTCCTCGGGGAACATACTGGGTAGGGGGAGAGGGAGAGGATGATGAGGAGGGGTTTCCGGTTCCGGGGATTTATTTATACAGGTACTCCCCGTCCCCGGAGGAGATGCAGCGTTCGCATTGGCATTGCCATTGACACCCATAACTCCCGGCGATTGGGACTGGAACTGGGACTGCGCTTGAGCCACGCCTGCTACACTACGATCATCATGCCTCCACGCATCTTCAATCGCATTCCCGTCTGCATCTTGACTGAAGGTCGAGCTAGGACTAGGACTCCGAGGCCAGCAAACAAACTCCTCCATCCACCGCTCCGCCTCCACCAACCCGTCCTCCTCCTCCTCCTCCTCCACGGGAGGCACCGCCTGCTCTTCCCACCACCGCAACATCTCCGCCTGCTGCGGGTCCGTGAGATCGAGCGTCGTCGTTGTTGCCCCGGAGTACTGCCCGTGCAGCCCGTGCACACCCAGCGGGAACCCATACCGCAACATCCCCACGTGGCCGCCGGCGCTTTCCACTACCCGGGTGATATCCGCCGGATCTTCTGCGGGACCCCTGACCTCGCGATACAGCTGCACATACCGAGTTCCGTAGTAGATGGCCCCGAACCCCGTCGGGGCGGTGGGGTGCTGCCGTCGGCGGTGTTGGAAGGTGCGGAGGAGGGATTTTTCGTGGGTGCGCCAGGGTATCGGGGGGGTGGGGAGGGTGGTGATTGTTGCTGTTGGGGTTGTGGGAGAGGAGTTGCGTTGTGGGGTTGGGGGCATTTTTGGGGGTGGTTGTTTTTGGGGGTGTTGCATGGGTTTGCTTTTGTGGTGGTGTTGTTTCTGGTGGTGGTGTAGGTGTAGGTGTGGTCTTTTATATGGGCTCTGGTAGAGGGGGTTGTATGGCTGGCTGTTTTGGTGTGGGATGGGGGCATTTCATTCTTAGGGGGAGGTTGTATTCTTTCTGTAGAGGGGGATTGTGGCCATGATGAGGATAGTATACGGCCCAGAAGATGGAGGATGTTTAGGTGGTAAGTTACTGTAGACGGATGGGATACTTCCTGGTTTGTTTGGTCTTTGAGATAGGGAAGTCTACCGGTCTTTGTGGTTGCGTTCGAGGGACGGTGGATCTCCGGTGTTCTTTTTATGTTCTTGCAGGAGAATCTAGATCTCCCGCCTACCCAGTGCCGGTACCATACCACAATCGATCCATCCAACGAGTCAGGTCCATTGATCAATCTCCAGTCGAATCGGAAATACCGAGTAGGTACCTACAAGGAGTACAGACTCAGCCCACTGCAGTAACTTCTCATGGCTGAATCGAATCAACTGTGGTGGATCCGAACCAATTCCCAGAACAGGCAGGTCGATTTTCCAACTTGAGCTGTGCTGCGCAGCCTGCGCTACACTTTTTCTCTGATCCACTTGAGGGGTTGCTGGTCTCCACCCGTGAGCAGTGGAGAATCTGCTTTTTCCACTACGCGTAGCCAGGCAGGAGGATGTTGGCCAGTTATTAAGCGGTGGATTACTCATTACTCATTACTCAGGGTGCTGATTGAGCGAGTTTATTCAGTGGCAGCTATTTCTGGTGGCTTTGAGCTGGAGGTTGATGATACTCTGTTAGAGGGAGGTCCGTATTGTGGATCTTGGGTGATAGCATGATCTTGTTGGTTCGGGAGCTGGGTTTGGATTTTGGTGATGGGGTGAGACGCATAGACTGCTACGTACTGCTACGTACTTTCTTCGAGTGCATGCTGTGGCTGTCAACTTGTGGTGGCTTGTGAAGGTGATATTATCTCCATGGTAGGACCAGGATATCGTCGGTGAGGGTACGGCTTCAAATTTCTTAAGTTTTGTGTAAGGTACAGAGTATTATGCGTGCAGTGGCTATTGCTATTGCAGTTTGCCTCGAGTTGTGCATGGCAGGTCCTCATGCTGTGCCGGTGCTTTGACTTGATATACTATACAGTTATCTCAGACTCTTATATTGGTTTCGTTTCGTCAATGCCAGCACGACCCTCTAGCTCTATGCTATGCACAAACTCCTATCCCACCAGCGTTTAGAATCTGGACCTTCAGGCAAATTCCCCCTTCGGGGGAATCTGCCGCTGCGTGGCGCTGGGTTTGGGAAGGTGAAAAGAAGGGGGGTCTGGGGGTTCTCCCCCAGGACGCTGCCCTTAAACAGTAGTCTGGGTATATCATGCTGGTAAATGCAAACTTAACTAGCCACTCTGGCCCTGACTACGGTCGCTCTGACCTCGACTGCTCCGACAACTTTGGCGCATGCCCTGACGCTCCTCTGCTGTGCCCCGCATTGTGGTCAGTTCGGACGCCACCTGTGTATGCTTCGTGCTCTGGTCGTTGTCCAACAACAGCCGCATGGTGAACGACCCCGGGTCGAAGCCCGCCATCGAAGGCACGGCAGCCTGGTCCAGTGCCGTCCTCCTCGCCAGCTCCCAGGCAGCATTGGCCGGAGCGGGGATCTTGGCCACGCCCCCGAGCGGATCGATCATCGTCACATCGCGCGTCACGTCTCGTCGGATCTCATTGTCGTCCTGGAATATCCCGCCGTCCGGGGAGATCTAACCTGCTTAGCCACCACATTCGACGCTCAGCCTCACCCGGGGGGATATACCTACCCCCGTAGAGAACTTCCGTCCCGGCATGTGAACATAGTCATCGAAGGAACTCTCCAGAGCTGCGAAATTGAACCCCCGGTTCGGAGTGACCGGCTCGAACCGCTGGCCGACCTGCACTCGAAAGTCCACCGGCCGTCGTCGCACGGGCTTGTAGCGCGGCAACCCCAACAACACCCCGGGATAACTGCCAACCCAGCTTTGCAGCACCGGCTCGATCTCCAGCGCGAACTGCACCCGGCTCTCCGCGCGTGGTTTCTGGATCAGCATGGCGAAGGTGAACTCTCGCGGAAGCCCCGACCGCTGCAGCGTGTTCTCCTCCAGGGACCAGACAATCTCGCCGGCTTCGACGTCGTACTCGCGACCGCGGGGGCTCCTCCGCGACCGGACGGACCCCTGGATGCGCATCATCTCGTACCGCTTGTACCGGCCGTTGATGCCCCCGCTCGGCGACAGACTGGCGATCAGGGGCAGGTCGGCGACCCCCAGTGACCCGCTGAGGCTGTAGTTCCACTGCATGGTCTCCGGGGACACCGCGCCGTAGAGGAGGTGCGGCGCGTGCATCAAGAATCGAGGGCTGTGCCGGGCCCGACCCGCTGCCCCGGAGGATGGGGAGGCCCGACCCCCGTGGACGGACGCGCGGATGGTCGCGGCTTTGAAGCGGTGCGACAGGGTGTTGGGCGAGTGGAAGACGAAGGTCACCCCGAGGAAATCCACATGGTCGGCGTCTTGGTTGGAGACGGCCGGGCTGGAGTAGTATCCATGCTGGAGGCGCTGTACTCGCGCGGTGATGTATGCGTCCCCGGGGAGATGACGCTCGTAGATGCACGCCCCGTTGATGAGAAGACGAGGGTTGATGAGGTTGGGATCGGGCAGCGCTGGATCGGAAGGCGTCTTCGTCTTGTCGGGGGGCTGAGGGGCCGGGGGGCGAGAGGAGGACGGTGGTGTCGCTTCAACGGGCCGTTGCAACGAAGCTGGAGAACGATCGATGGTCACCATCGCCACGGTGGGAGATTCCATCGTAGAGGATGCTGCTTTCGCGCTGTTACCATCAACCTGAATACCCATCACGAGGTTGCCTGTCTCGGACCTCCATGGGCACCTTCATGAAAAGTAGATCGAGAGACCCCGGAAAACTGGGGTTCAGATCGAGTGCGTGGGAATCTGGGGTAGAACCCATTCGCATTGCGAAAGTCATGATCATAGACAAGGAGGGAGAGTGATCAATGACGACAACGCTGGCGACCGATGGATGAGGCTTTATCAGGTGAGGAGAGGGAAGCAAGTCAGATGAGGCGATGCGATAATTAAACTGCCAAGATGGGCGCCGGCGGAATCAGTCGACGCTTAAGTCGAGCGGGTACAGGAACCAGAGCGTGTCAGCTGCTGTTCCGGACTGTGTCTGAGTCTTGCGACCGACGAGAATCTATTACCGGTTGGTTGAGGGTACACTGGTGGGTGATTTGGGCGGATGAGGCTGATCCCGTCACGGTTGGAATTCCTTGGTTGGATCGGCTTGGGCAGTTTCTCAACAATGCTTAGCTGTCCCCGTCTCGGCTGATTTACTACTTAGCCTGTACAGTACACTACCGCCAATACCACCTCTTCCGACCGTCATACGCTCCACATGAACTCGAGATCTCTTGAAACTGGGATGGAGACAACTGTCTTGTCTATGATCCTGCACAAGTGAACCCCGAATCCTGAAACCACAATGCACTATAAACTGATGGTCTATAGTTGTCGGAAGGCCGGACTATAACGCCCATGTTATACCGCACAAAGTGCCGAATCCACCGGTTCCACATTCACACGTGGGTTGTCGTATCAGCTGTTGGCTCACCTTGACAAGCACTAACTGAGATGCTGTTAGACCTGGCCATCATGAGTGACAAAAGCAGACATTCTGGCAAGAGGAGTCTGGTGAAGCTGTGCTGGTGGCTACAGATCCCGACAAGGTGACAACACACCGGTTTCCAAAAGGAAAGTGTTGGACGAGGCATGTTGTCCTGAGGGTGTAGACACACCTCCTGTACGGAGTACATTTGGGTGAGTCCAGACCGAATGCTTGCACATCTACCTGATATGGCTGACTGGCCAGCGGTTTGTGCTTATCTAGTCATCGAATATGACTAGCGCTTGACTATCTTTATCTTCTCGACAGCTTTACAATCCCTTCCTGCTGGTGCTTCTCGCGGCCGCGGCGTGTCGCAGCCGAATGCGGGGTTGGAGAGTGATACGGTATACATGAGTCGGCATGTACTTCCGTCGGTCAGAAAGAATTTTTTCATCCGCCGTTCACATACCGGACTCCTCCCAAATCAGTGTGGTCAAGCAGGATGCATGCAGGATGCGCAGGTTGTGCATTCAATGGTGCTGTTCGTCATGTAGGTTACTTGTCAGCTGGTCGTCTTCTATCCATCGCAGACCGTTGTTGCCGCGGGCGCAATTCACTCTTGCTTGAATTAGAGCAATATGGCCATGCACCCAAACAAGGGCCGAGTGTGCTGGCTTGCTGTGTGAATATGACTGATCATTGGCATACAGATCCATCGCAGCCCGCCGAAGAAAACAGAACGGGGATTCGGTTCTGGAGATTATCGGGGTTATGATGCTGACTGACTGACTCGGGAACCGGCCAGCGATCCGCATGCCGACCAAGCGGCATTACTAATGCAACCACAGCTTTGCTCGACCAATCCTGGCCTTTGACGAACAGGTCTGTGTGGAGCCCAGGGAAGATCAACCGGATTGCCCGGCAAGCACTAGACCAGACCGGGCCAGATGGGAGAGGACGAGGAACGAAGTCATCATTGCCTCATTTCTTCGGGACCGAATTGGACAGGGAGATGGTGATATGGAAGTCCATCGAAAGGGTGAGTGAAGGGGATACTCTAACTTGATGAAACTTACTATACTCTACGTGCTCCCAGTGGTCTTGAAGTTCTTGGCCCTGATCCGTGCGCTGGAACATTTGGCTAACCATGTCGACTAGCGGCTCGGCAGATTCCTGGCTGACATCCGGGCAACTGGCAGCCTGCAGAAGACCTATCTGATCCTTCACAGTCGAGTACTACTGAGTAGGTTGCTCTCCGCTCCTAGTAAATAACATGGACTCTACTGTACCATTGTAGTATCATGAGTCACCGAGTCATGCTGAGCTCGCTAGGATGCGAGGACAGAGAGATAGCAAGGAGAATGCATACTAGTCCAGTTGATAGGGAGAGGCAATCCATCTTATCACCGTGGAGGATGGAACCTGACTAACCGAAATCAGACCCCGATCTGAGTTGCCCGTGGTGTCCGTCGTAAGCAGCCCATTAATAATCCTCGAGAGGAATATGAATTCCGGTGAAATGAGCTTTGCCTAGTGCCAGGTGAATTTCGGTGTGCCCAGCGACCAGGCACGGATGACCCGACCAGACCAATCAGCAGCACGGATGACTAAAGCCCGACGAGTTTTAGCAGCTTATCTCCGGTCGAACTTTTTCATGCTTCACTGCTTCGACCCGTCCACTCTTCGGGCCCAGCCGATCTTGAATCAGATACCTCGCCCTTCGTCCAATCCTTTTCCCTCCTGATGGCATCCACCGCGCTCATCCTGACTCATTTCGACTCTGGAATTTACTTTCCTTCCCTTCTCGCCCCTCTCGCGCTTCTTTCCCATCCTTTTTCGCAGCTGCGTTACCCGCGCTGCCATCGCCGCCAGCAGCCACCATCGATCCACAGTTCGGTTGGCGTCTTCCTCCACCCAGTCCACCTCGTTTCATCCTCTGATTGCAGCCTCGCTGAAGCAGACCCTGTTCTTTCTCCACGGCTAGAAGATTCTGACAAATCCACCAGAAATTTTTCCCTGTGAAAGGTGGCCCACACGGAGTTAATCAGCGCAGACTCGCGGCTTTTAACCATGATGCAACGACCTCCATCGGCAGCCCCTCCTGGCTCTTCCCTATTTATCAAGCCTCCCTTGTCTTCCTTGCGTGGGTGATCCCCATTGCGTGTCTCATTCTATAGACCCTCTCCCCTCATCTTCGCAGGTGTATGTTGGTGAGAGCTCCCAGAGCTTTCATTCAAGTGCCCGGCCTCTTATATAACCTTTCTAATTACATCCCCTTCTTCCTTTTCTTTTCTCGACGCATTCCGGCTGTAGCCCCGGCTGAACATATCAACTTGCATATATCCCGAGTTACACGATTCGGTATTATTGTTTTCCTATCTATATTCTCCTAATACCTATCCGTTCGACGCGCATTTGTCCCATTCCAATTGACGTCCGTGGAATTCGATTACGGTTTCGGCTCGATTCCTTGGACTTCTCAGCACCTTGATTGCTGTGACACCCCACCCACAGACAGGCTTCGAAAGCGCACCTCGATTTGCCTGCGAGGAAAAATAAATCAATCATGTCCAATACCACGGCCGAGGGAAGTCGGCTACCGGGCGACTTGCAAGAAATCCCGACGTCGACGATTGAAACCCGGCCCGACAGCCACGAGGCAAGCCACCATGTGCCCCACGCTGTCGCCTCCGATCCATCCCTGTCGACTAGTGATAGCGAGACATCCCAAGAGGGCCACTGGGGAGAGCGGGGCACTGAACCCGTCTCTCGTCGCGGGGCGATGGAGGATTTGGAGGAGATGAGACGGGAGCTGACCAGGCTTAGTCTGCATCGTACTCGTTCCGTCAAAGGCGACGCTCAGCGACGCCGCTCGAAGGCTTCTCGCGCCGATGAAGAGAAAGCGCTGGAAGGCGACGGACTCTCCGGCTCTACTGAAGGCGACTATGGCGCATTTGACCTGGGCGAATTCCTGATGGGTGGTCACCTCGAACGACGCACAACAGCTGGCGAGCCGGCGAAGAAAGTCGGTGTTGTTTTCAAGAACGTCACCGTCAAGGGTATCGAGACTGGTGCCTCCTTCGTCCGCACTCTTCCCGATGCTGTCATTGGAACCTTCGGCCCCGATTTGTACAAGATCGTCTGTAGGTTCGTCCCGCAGCTCCAGTTCGGTCGCAAGCCTCCAGTGCGGGACTTGCTTCATGATTTTACGGGCGCCGTTCGCGAAGGTGAGATGATGTTCGTTCTGGGTAGACCAGGCGCCGGCTGTTCCACCTTCTTGAAGACGATTGCCAACGACCGAGGCGCTTTTGCCGGCGTCGAAGGTGAAATCAGTTACGGTGGTATGTCGGCTGAGGAACAGCACAAACACTTCCGTGGTGAGGTCAACTACAATCAGGAAGATGATCAACACTTCCCGAACTTGACTGTTTGGCAGACCTTGAAATTCTCGCTGATCAACAAGACGAAGAAGCATGACCGGGACAGCATTCCCGTCATCATCGATGCTCTGTTGAAGATGTTTGGTATCTCTCACACGAAGAACACGGTTGTCGGAAACGAATACGTCCGCGGCGTCTCTGGTGGTGAGCGTAAACGTGTCAGTATCGCTGAGACTTTGGCAACGAAATCCTCGGTCGTTTGCTGGGACAACTCAACCCGTGGTCTAGATGCCAGCACTGCCTTGGATTACGCAAAGTCACTCCGGATTATGACCGACGTCAGCAAGCGCACCACATTCGTCACTCTATACCAAGCCGGAGAGAGCATTTACGAGCTCATGGATAAGGTAATGGTGATCGATTCCGGACGCATGCTCTACCAGGGACCCGCCAGCGAGGCTAGAGAGTACTTTGAGAACCTCGGCTTTGCTTGTCCGGACGGATCGACCACGGCCGATTTCCTTACTTCCCTGTGCGATGTCAATGCCCGTCAATTCCAGCCAGGTCGTGAGGCGTCTACTCCCAAGACTGCGGAGGAGCTCGAAGCGGTCTTCCGCCAGAGCAGTGCTTACAGGCGAATCTTAGATGATGTCGCTGGCTATGAGAAGCAGCTCCAGGACACCAACTGCGAGAACACTCGTCGGTTCCAGAAGTCCGTTGCTCAATCCAAGAGTAAAACCGTCTCCAAAAAGTCCCCTTACACTGTGTCTCTGGTTCGACAGGTTGCTGCTTGTGTGCAGCGTGAGTTCTGGCTGTTGTGGGGTGACAAGACATCACTCTACACCAAGTACTTTATCATCTTGTCCAATGCTCTTATCGTCTCCTCTCTGTTTTATGGAGAATCTATGGATACCAGCGGCGCTTTCTCGCGCGGTGGTGCTCTGTTCTTCTCTATTCTGTTCCTTGGCTGGTTGCAATTGACGGAATTGATGCCTGCGGTTAGTGGACGTGCCATCGTCGCACGCCACAAAGACTACGCATTCTACCGTCCTTCTGCTGTGTCGATCGCTCGTGTTGTCGTGGATTTCCCGGCAATCTTCTGTATGGTCGTGCCTTTCACCATCATCGTCTATTTCATGGCTGGGTTTGATGTGGACGTGTCTAAGTACTGGATCTACTTCCTGTTCGTGTACACCACCACGTTCTGCATCACCTCAATGTATCGCATGTTCGCGGCGCTGTCCCCGTCAATCGACGATGCGGTTCGGTTCAGTGGTATCGCATTGAACGTGTTGATCTTGTTCGTTGGCTATGTCATCCCTAAACAGTCCCTCATTGATGGGTCTATTTGGTTCGGTTGGCTTTTCTACGTCAATCCGCTCTCTTACAGTTACGAAGCCGTGCTTTCCAACGAATTCGCCAATCGTGTAATGGACTGTGCTCCTTCGATGCTGGTACCCCAAGGTCCAGGCATTGACTCTAGATACCAAGGATGCGCCCTGACGGGTTCTGAACTGGGTTCGACGACCGTTGCGGGAAGCAGTTACATCCAGACGACTTACCAGTTCACTCGCCACCATCTATGGCGTAATTTTGGTGTTGTCATTGCTTTTACCGTCCTCTATATCTTGGTCACCGTGTTTGCAGCCGAAATTCTTTCGTTCGTTGGTGGCGGAGGCGGTGCGTTGGTGTTCAAGCGCTCCCGCCGTGCTAAACAGCTCAAGGCGCAGGCTAGCAAAGGCAACGACGAAGAGAAGATGCAAACCCCGGGCCAGGGACAGTCTCAGTCGGGTGCAAACAGTGAGACTTTCAACCGTATCTCGTCGAGCGACCGGGTGTTTACTTGGTCCAACGTCGAGTATACCGTGCCTTATGGTAATGGAACCCGGAAGCTTCTGAACGGCGTCAATGGGTACGCTAAGCCTGGACTCATGATCGCCCTTATGGGTGCATCTGGAGCGGGTAAGACGACGCTCCTCAACACTTTGGCCCAACGCCAAAAGATGGGTGTTGTGACGGGTGATATGCTTGTTGATGGCCATCCTCTGGGCACGGACTTCCAACGTGGTACTGGTTTCTGTGAGCAAATGGACCTTCACGACAACACCGCCACGATCCGCGAGGCTCTCGAATTCTCGGCTCTGCTCCGTCAGGATAGGGATACTCCTCGTCAGGAGAAAATCGATTACGTCAACCAGATCATCGACCTTCTTGAGCTGGAGGAGATCCAGGATGCTATTATCGGTTCTCTCAATGTCGAGCAGAAGAAGCGGGTGACCATTGGTGTGGAGCTGGCCGCGAAGCCCAGTCTGCTTCTTTTCCTTGATGAGCCCACTAGTGGTCTGGACAGTCAAGCGGCGTTCTCCATTGTGCGATTCTTGAAGAAGCTTTCGCAGGCCGGACAGGCTATCGTCTGCACCATTCACCAGCCTTCGTCCATGCTGATCCAGCAGTTCGACATGATCTTGGCCTTGAATCCTGGCGGTAACACTTTCTACTTCGGTCCTGTTGGTCATGAGGGCCGCGACGTGAAGAACTACTTTGCTGACCGTGGAGTCGTTTGCCCTCCGTCAAAGAACGTTGCGGAGTTCATTCTCGAAACGGCTGCAAAGGCTACCAAGAAGGATGGCAAGACTTACGACTGGAATGAAGAGTGGCAGAACTCGGAGCAGAACCAGAAGATTCTGGACGAGATCAAGGCTATCCGGGAGGAGCGCAGCAAGATCCCCCTTCCCGAGTCGGGTACTACGTACGAATTCGCAGCTCCAGCCATGACGCAGACTTACCACCTCATGATGAGAATTTTCCGCCAGTACTGGAGAGACCCTTCGTACTACTACGGAAAGTTGTTTGTCAGTGTCATCATCGGTATCTTCAACGGTTTCGTAAGTATTTCCCCATCAATCCAGCTTCAATCCCGCACTAACAGTCGCAGACCTTCTGGATGCTGGGCAACTCCATCTCTAGCATGCAAGATCGCATGTTCTCGACTTTCCTGATCATTCTTCTCCCGCCCATTGTTCTGAACAGTCTGGTCCCGAAGTTCTACATGAACCGTGCCCTTTGGGAAGCGCGCGAATACCCCAGCCGTATTTATGGCTGGTTCGCCTTCTGTACCGCCAACATCATCTGCGAGATCCCAATGGCGATCGTGTCCGCTCTGATCTACTGGCTCCTGTGGTACTACCCGGCCGGTTTCCCCACGGATTCCAGTAACGCGGGCTACGTCTTCCTCATGTCGATGCTCTTCTTCCTCTTCCAAGCCAGCTGGGGTCAATGGATCTGTGCCTTTGCCCCCTCCTTCACCGTCATCTCCAACGTAAGCCCTCTCCCCCACCCCGCCTCCTGCTTCTAGCCTCCATCTAACATACAAACCAGGTCCTCCCCTTCTTCTTCGTCATGACCAGTCTGTTCAACGGTGTCGTTCGCCCGTACTCCAACTACCCGGTGTTCTGGAAATACTGGATGTACTACGTCAACCCGGTGACCTGGTGGCTCCGCGGCGTGATCTCGGCCGTCTTCCCCACCGTCACCATCGAGTGCTCCTCCACGGAGACCACCCACTTCAACCCCCCGTCCGGCCAGACCTGCTCCAGCTACGCCGGCGACTGGGTCTCCAGCGTCGGCAACGGCTACCTCGCCAACCCGAGCGCCACCTCGGACTGCCAGTACTGCCCCTACGCCAACGGCACGCAGTACATGCACACGCTGAATGTGCACGACGGCGACAAGT